GATGTGAAGAAATATACTTAAGGAAGGAGTTGGAGTAAAATGGAACAGAGTCTAATAGAGCTGGACATTTAGAACATTGTATATCTTCCAACCCTTTGGAACTAGTCTGATATTAATTCTTCTCAAAATTATTACCATATATCCTATAAAGATCCATAGCCTTTTAGACCATATCTGTAGAGAAATGCCCTAAGTCTCATACCTCACACCATGTAGAAAACATACGAGGGGATACCCACCACCCCCCAAAACGGAATTGTGCTGGTCAGAGCAGAACTTTTCGTAGTCCCTGTTTTTCCAGCTAGGAGAGCGTCAAGCAACTCGCTTTGAGTCACTGCACTCAATGGAGTCTCCGGGGAAGGTTCTCTCTGCTCACCGTGAGCTTTTTTGTAAAACTAGTTTCATTCAAACCTCATTAAATGTGATGGCTGATTTAGGAGACCAGCGTGCGGCTGTGAAATTTTTTTCCTGCTCAGGAAAAATGCCACAGAAACTGTTGTGATATTGAGCATAGCTTACAAGGACAGGGCCATGGGGAAAACTCAAGTGTACGAGTGGTTTTCTCATTTCAAAACTGGTGAAATGCTGATCGATGATAAACCTCATTCTGGACGTCTGTCAAGTTCCTGAATGGACGAATATGTCTACTTATGCATTTGGAGTTCATTTCACCAGGTCAGACTTTCTATTTAGAGCAGTGATAGTCAATCTTCCTAATGCTGTGACTCTTTAATGCAGTTCCTCATGTTGTGGTGACCACCGGCCATAACAATTATTCTCATTGCTACTTCATAACTATAATTTTGCTACTGTTAAGAATCATAATGTAAATATCTGATATGTAGGATATATTTTCATTGTTACAAATTGAACAAAATTAAAGCATAGTGATTAATCACAAAACAATATGTAATTATATACTGTGAAATATTTATGTGTTTTCCAATGGTCTTAGGCGACCCCTGTGAAAGGGTCATTCGAACCCCAAAGGGGTCGTGACCCACAGGTTGAGAACCACTGATTTAAAGGTTCTGAAAAGATAGCGTAAGGGTGTGCAACAAAAAAGGTCTGATTTGTGGCAGACAGAGGAATGGTTTTGTCACCGTGACAATGTACCTGCTCATGCAGCCATCTCAGTGTGCTATTTTTTGACAAAAAACAGCATGCCTCTTGCCCCACACACCTGACTCACCTGACTTGGGCCATGCGACTTCTTTTTGTTTCTGCAAATGAAGCAGGACATGAAAGGACAGTGATTTGACTATGTAGAAGAGGTGAAGAAAAGAAACGAG